AAAGTTGATTTTGGCTCATTGTTTTGGCAGTTTCAGACCCGATCAGCTCACTCCATTGCTTTTAGGTCTGTGGTCAGACAAAAACATTGTGTGGAAGGGTGCGGGAGAGGAAAGCTGGTCACCTCATGGCAGCCAGGAAGCAGAGAGATACAGAAAGGAGCTGGGACAAGACAGAGCCCTCTAAGTCCCCTCAAGAACCCACTTTCTCCACTTTAGTGCTACCTTCTAAGTTTTCATGACTTCTCTCATCCCGTCCAATTAAGAACCCATCATTGGATTAATCCACTGATAAGTCAAAGCCTTCGTGTCCCATAACTTCCCAAACACCCACCTCTGAATGTTACTGCATTGGGGACGAAGGCTAAAATACACAAGGCGCATTTCAGATCCAACCCACAACAAATACAAAAATATGTTTCCCCCCTCTTATATCTTCATTATTATTGTCTTCTTTTGAAATCTTTCTCATGAACTTGCTCCAGTTGGCAAAAAACTGGCCACTAATAAGAGTCCCCAGCCTAAATCTTACATTTCTCATAATTATGGATCCAAAGAAAGATTTTCTTTCTACCCGACTCCACACATCAACTTTCCAGGCAGAACCTTGAAATGTAAGTTAGATATACCTACTTAGGAATAGGGACCAAAGTGGGATTTGTGCTCATGAGCACCTGCTATATTGGCAATGCAAATGAAAAAGAGAGTAAGCTCCTGTCCCTCTGAGATGTATGTTCTTTGGGGAAAATGGGAAATAAATTAACCAGTAATAGTTACAACTCTATATTGCAAATATGCCTTGAAGAAAAGGAAGTAGGAGGTACTATTGCTCAGGTGTTACCAGTGGCTATTTTAGGTAGTGAGTCCAGGAAAGGATCCTTCAGAACACAATATGTGGCATGTGAATGGCAAGAGCTCACAGATCCACGGGCTGTGTTGTGGCCTCTCATTTCTATTTTAGAGGATGATTTGAAAGGGGACCATTTGCCTCCTGCGCTCTCAAACTTATTATAGTCTAGGACATTTACCAGATATGTTAGTTGCTTTCTTCTTCTTGAGGTGTGACATCTTGTGTGACATATTTGGTTTCTCTAGATTGAGCTATATATGATTTCCAAGATGCCTTTCAGCTCCAGAGTTCATCATTCTGAATTCATTCTCAAAGTAATTCATTTGCATAATTTAAAAAACATTCAATAATATCAGAATGAATGATGCAAGGAGGACAAAATTAAATTGTAGAATAATTCACATTAGCTAAATTACAGGAGGGCATTATAAATAACCTTACTTTAAAAAGACAAAGTTTTATTCTTTAATGACTCACCATGTGTCAATAATTGTAAATCCTATTAAGTAACTTCAAAATGCCTACTGACATAGAGTAATTATTTATTTTCTAGCTTCTGATCAATCTGTGATTAAATTAGCATCTTTCTGATCAGTAAACAGCCTACTTGATGTAACTTTGGCAGCCAGAGGAACAAATATTTAAAGAAAAACAACCATAAAATTTTGTGCTTTATTCATAGTGGTACTATTTGATTTAATGGAGATAAAAGAAAAACTTGAAGAAATGTCACTATTAGAAGTCTTTTCTTTTATTTAGCCATCATGCTTACAAAATGAAAATACTAACAAGAACAAAAATAGCTAACATTAATGGTCCAGTTGCTATGAGACAGCCCCTCTTCTTAGTGTTTTATCATTTTTACTTTCCTCTACACCCCTAGGAAGTTATTCTATTATTAACCTGTTTTAAGGATGGGAACAGAAGCATAAGGGGAGGAAATTCCTCCAGCTCACAAACCTGAGTGATGGATGAATGAGGTTTTGCATCTAGAGGTTATGGATCATAAGTAACATTCTTAACAACATGTGATAATTTGTGTGTTTTTCTGTCAGTGAATGAGGAATAGTAGTTTTACCTCGGTGTGACTCTGGTTTAAAAATGAAAAGGAAGGTGACATATTTTCCACAGCTACTTTCTCAGCAGGCTGGTTTCTTCTCTGCCCTCTTGCCCCAGCAGATATTGCCCTTACTCCCTCCACACTCTTCATTTCTTTTCTGCATTCAAAATGTGTGAGCCTTCAAAGAAGGTGGCAATAAAGTATTTAAAGCTTAGTTATCATCGTAAGTCCATGGTTTGCCTCTTTCAGGTGGATCTAATTCATACTCTCATGCTCACAGAGAAACAAGTCATTATTTTGGCTAAAGCAGTCTGATTTAATCAAGTGAATGGGAGCAGTATTTGGAGTTTTAGACTGAAATCTCACTGTAGAAGCAAAGTCTCTGTCCCACCTACTCATAAATGGTTTTCCTAGTGTTTGACATTTAGGAAAGGACATCTAAGGTAATCATACTAAATATGCAAAATTATGTACTGGTGACTGGTGACATAATTAATCAGAAATCATTCCCCAGAATGATCACGGGCTGAAAGACATATGAGACAGTCTTTGAAAATAGTTGGAAAAGAAAATGTTCAATTCTCTGGTTCACTACCTTCAAATGTGATATGAGACATATAAACTGTTACTTACAGGAAAGGAGGGCTACAGGGTGTGCCAGCTGGATTAGTGCTTTTGGTTAAGAAGAAGGCTGAATTATCTATCAGGCAATTGGGAAGACCTTTCTTTCCCTTGAGTGGCTGCATGGATTCCTCATGTGTCTGTACTCAGGGCCTGGGCAGGAGAGAAGATCTTAAACCAGGACAACACTGAGATACAGTTAAGTGTCAGCCAGTGGTTCAGTTGAATATTTCTACTCTGCTTTGTGGGGTATCTGCTGAAATACTTTCCATTTATTTACTTCCTTACTCTTCTGAATATAGTCTGCTTAACATTCAATTTTGAGTTAGATAGTGGGCCTTGGGGAAAATCCCAAGCAAACAGAATTGGTGAATCAAAATCAATCTCTCTCCTCTCTGCCCCCCACCTCTTGTTATGTTTCCTCAGTTCCTGTCTCCCTTCTTTCCTAACTATGACTCTGGAGCATGAATTGTAACTCTAGTGGCTTCTGGCTGCATGATCTTGGGTAAATCCTGTATGTCTAAATTCTCTGTGCATCAATACTGATCCCACAGGACAGTTTGAAATATTAAAGGGATTTTTAAAAAATGTGAAGCACTTCAAGTAATGCCTGACAGATAGTAGATATTCAAACTTTAAGCACTATCAACTTTTTAAAAATAAAAATTTACTGAATCCTCACTTATATTCTAAATGCTGCACTAAATATTAAGCTGGGCAAATGACAAGACATTCCACCTGAGCACCTTCCCTCTGGGTGCCTCCACCGATCTTCCAACCCAGGGATTATGCTTGCCACACTGTTCACTCTTAGACCATCCCTGTTCATTTCCTCATCAAATCACTGTACTTGTTCTGTTTTCTCATGCTTAGAGAATGTTCTCTGCCAACTGGCAACAGGTGATTAAAACAGGGGAATACATGTATGCAAAAATATTAGTTTGAACCCAGTAAAAATGCACATGTTTCCAGAAGGCTTTCAAGGAAACTAACCTCATGGCCACTGTTTTAGATATTCACTCCTTAGTTAGGATTAGATACCAATTTGGTCATTCAAAACACTCAACACATAACCTAATCTATAATAACTTTGCTTGTACATGTGGATAGCTTCTCCAACTAGTTTAATTTTGCAATTAACACACAACAGGTAATGTTAGGAGAGAAGGAGCTTTTTTTTTTCTCAGTGCTGGGGATGGAACCTACAGCCTTGCAAACACTAGGCAAGTGCTGTATCACTAAACTGCCTTCATTTGTTCTTGATTTTTCTTCTTACTAAACAGTTCCTGGAGCTTCACAACACTCCAAGTATTTTTAATCAGAATAATAAAAAGGAGAATTTCAAAAGGATATTTTCTTAAAAGCTTGCTTTGGTTTTAGTACTCATAGATGAGAAAGTACATACTTTCATTTTTCTCTGTCATACTTTGTTTATCCATTGGCAATGAGAATCTAGATTTTTAGTCAATATTGGAAGGCACTTTAGACATTCCCTGGGTTCATTTCTGTGGATGGCATCTCTTGGGGTTTTCTCAGCTCTGTTCTGCTTCTCAGACATCAGAATACCCAATTGCGGTCTGTCTTACTCAGACTACCACAAGCAGCAGTCAGACAGAAGCATTTTCTGAATGAGAGCATAGGGCAGAGTGAACGAACAAGATTGCAAAGACCTGCTCCAAACACACATGCTCAGTGTAAAGGTTGAAATGAGGTTGACTTTCTGTCCTTCCGGGTTCTGCCTGCGAAAAAATTGTTTAACAGTTTATAAAAATAAACTATACTGGAAAGTGAGTTACACAGGCCAGCGGATTTTCGTAACTCACCATCTCTCAGCTGCACATTTCAGACATTTCCTGAAGTTGTATTCCATGCTACTTCATTCTATTTTTTCCCCTTGGATTAATCAGTTTTGCGTATCCTGCCGGTGAGTCAGGAGTCTTAGCATGAGAAGAGCCCTGCCAAGATGCTGAGGAATTACTAACCATGGGCTAATGGGGACATTGTGAGGATAAAAACTAACACGTGTAAAGCACTTAAAATAGTGTCTGGTGCCGGGGATTTAGCTCAGGGGTTCCACTGCCTGACTTGCAAGCGCAAGGACCCGAGTTCTAACGCCGTACAATAAATAAATAAAATAAAATAGCGCCTGGTATTCTTTTATCCGCGTGTTGCTTGTTGATTATTACCTTACTACTACTGCTGAGAGTTACTCTGGGCTCACTTCGCTTAATGGCACTAACTTACAATTTTAAGAACAAACAATATGAAATACAATGTGGGGACCCAGTAAGAATGACGATTTAACATAGAACTGTATCACTTCCGGACATATATACTAATTTATAACAATAACATTGACAAATCAACTTTAGAGGATTTTACCAGTAGTTTCAATGACTGCATTGGGCAACAAGATAGCAGTGCTGCGCATACAATTATTAGCGCCTTTTTTCTCACCTTGCTGACTTCCGGGAAGATGGCGGATCCGTGACGCGCGGAGAAGCAGCCTCTCTGAGAGCTGGTGTCCAGGTGCCGGAATATAGTAACCCGAGGAAGGGAAAAAGGAGGGAGGTGGGTCCCTGGGACCCAGTAAGGATCTGAAGCAAGAAACGAAGCCCATGGGGAGAGCGAAGAGAAACCTCAAGCAGAAGGAGGTGGCAAGTGCGCGCTTTCTCCCTACAGCTTGAACCTGAGGAAGCTGAGCAACTCCTGGCGACCCCAGAGGCCTCCACGGAGAACGCACCAGCTGAGCAGAGCAGGGAACACAGTGAACTGCAGTGACTGGTAAGTTGTTTTCTCATCTTGCTGGGAAAACTGAAGTTCAGAGTTTTTATTTGGGCCAGGGATTTAGCTCAGTGGCTACCGCGCCTGCCTTGAAAAAGTTTTCATTTTATTACTCATTGCGCACCTCTAGAGATTGGTCAAATTGGTTCTACTTTAACACCCTAGGTTACAAAATGTTTTTAAATTCATCATTATGGGAAAAATTTTCAATTAGCAATAATCGCGCCTCGGATAAACCTCATTGGCTACGATACTGCCACTGCGCAAAGCTAAATTCATCATGATACTTTGAGCTACAAATTGTCTATTAATTTCTCTTACCTATGTTTGGATTTTCTGTTAGGTGCTTTGTAAAATTCATGTTGATTTCTACTTCCCAGGAGTTCAGATTGCACAATTCTTTTTTGTTTTGTTTTGTTTTTGGTACCGGGGATCGAACTCTGGTCCTTGCTCTTACGAGGCAGGCCACTGAACCGCTGAGCTAAATCCCTGGCCCAAGGTTGCACAATGCTTCACAATGCTTTTTCAAATCATTCACCTTCAGTGGTGGTTGGAATTTTATGTCCAAAGATGTTCGTGTCCTAATCCTGAAAACCTGTGGTTGCACAAGTACTGGATAACTAATACATCCTCATTTACAATGTGTTTGTTGCCTTTTGTATTTCAATGCTCCCACAAGTTAAGGCAATTGTTTTTTTAGCACCTAGACAAAGGATTCTGAATAATTTGTCTAAGATATGCACCTGAGACATGTAACCCATTTTTGAGAATAAAGAGGTTTGGGGGAAATTATTGTAATATATGAATATAGTAGAAAGAAAGATGGAAGGTGGGAACATGGCCCATTAGAGTTTATGGGAGATCTTAAAGAGCAAAATAAATTCAGTCTGAAAGTTCTCCAAGTAATTCTCATAAGACCTTAGTAGGAATTTTTCCTACACCATTAAAAATCATTGACCAAGTAATAAGATTACTAACAATTGAGTAATGGTGGGCTAACTGCAAATCTGAGTGCTGCTCTTGTGTGGACTCATGTATTTCTCATAGACTCGGTAGGTAGAAACTATTGAAATTGTCTCCAGGTTAAAAATAAGGGAACTGACACACAGTGACATTGTTTTTTTCTTTAATTGGGATTTTTGCTTATAATAGAATTGTTCACAATGAAATATTTGCCAAATTATAGAATACATACCCATTTATGACTATACAATTATTTTGTGTTGAAATTTTAAGTTTTTAGAATTTTCCGTTTTCTTTTGCTATTTTTTCTTGCTCTTTGGTTTACTGGAGTGCCATTGGAATACAACTGGTAAGGTAGGTTAGATGCCTCTTTGAAGCATCTTCTCTACCCAAATAATAAGAAGCAGCCTTTGCATAAAATGTCCACTGGGTGGCAGTAACTTATAAAGACCCAGTGAATCATTTGTTTTGGGGGTTGTTTAACAGTTAATCTTTGGGCTTCTTTCTTTTTTTCTTTAAGGTGGGGTGTTGTACTGTATTTAACATCCTTTCAAAATGCAAGCAGTTTTAGCAGCTTAACACATCTGAGCTAAATATACATTCCTTTAAAGAAAAACTTACTTTGAAATGCATTTTATAAATAATCAAATGTATCTTGATGACACTTGAATACATGGGCAAACTTATAAAACTGTTCTTGAATCTTTAAAATCAAGCTATAATAATACCAACAGAGCCTGTGGTTTTTGCCTCCAGCAACTTGGTACTAAAACATATTTTGTTTTGTTTTGTTTTTGTTTTTGTTTTTTAGGAAAAACTGGCAAAATGTGATAAATGCTATATATTTATTACGTTTAATTACATGTCTGTTTCTTTCCTACCTGCTTAAAACTTTCACGTTAGTGAAAACGCTCTTCCTGTTAACTTTTTCCAGGGCTACAATTTAAGCTACTGCAGTAATTATAAACCACTGCAGTAATTTGAGGTGAAAAAGTACTTTGAAATCTATTCCATGAATACATAAATACTATTCCTATAAAAATGTGATTGGTTCATTTCCCAGCATACTCCCAGTTCCTGTTCCCTGTACACTGTAGGTAAAAATACAGCCCCTAGGAGGTGCTGTGCCTGACACTGTGTCCCTAAACCTGTTCTTATCATGCCACTCTCTTCCTCATCTTCCTTAATCATTTTTCCTTTGGACTGTGCAGCAAGTTGTTATTACACTACTTTAGATGTTTCTGAAACATTCCAGCTTCTTACAAATGCATCATCTTCTACATAGGGACTGGTTGACTGGCTTTTAATATGTAAATATGCTGATTAATGAAGGTAAATGTATTCTAAAATGATAAGTGTGATAGTTCATCCTAATCACAGAAAAGAAATGATTCTGCTTTCATCCCTCTATTTAAATATCAATGGCTTTACATTTAATAGCTCTTATTCTAGCAGTTGAACTGAATTTATGTACTGAATGTTTGAGGTATAAATATTCATGTATAGTTGAACTTTGATCCTATTCCAGCATGCATTACCCACAAAAAAAGATGAAGTCTATCAGAATATGTTCTACATGATGTTTAGCTGTTTCACACATCTAAAAGAGTGAACTCTAGTGATAATTTATTCATAACCAGTTTTGACAACTAGTCTTAAATATGGAAAAAAGTTCTTGTGTTATACCTTTACTAAATTCCAGTGCTGTTTTAAGTTCAAATCTCACTATTTCCATATCTGAAAAAAACAATAAACAGGAGGGGAAAAGTCAGGTATTGATTCTAGTGGACATAGCCAAGTGTTGACAATCAACTGGGGAGAAATAAATAAGTATCCGCTCAGTGCTGCCAAGGTACCAGGTTCTCAATATCTCTCCACTTGATTGTCCTTTAACATCAGGAAGTGGTTTATGGGATGGGACATAGAAGAAGAAAAAGAGAAGGGAAGGGAAAGAGTAAAGAAGGAAAGAAGGAAGGAAGGAGGAAGGGAGGAGGAAAGACAGGAAGGAAGAAGAAAGAAACTGCAAGGAAAATATGAGCCAATATGAATACTTGCCTTCTGTTTTTTCATCTTGCCAACTTTTTTCTCTCAGTTTCTGGAATTCTGGAAAATATAGGTTAGCATTAACTGTACTTATAACTATTATAACACATTTAGTAATGTGTTGTGTGAGATGGTGAGTTGTTATTGCTGTTGTAGATGTAGAAATTTTTCTTTTAAAATTTACATGCATCACTATCATATAACTACAGGCAACATGCATAATGTAACACTCACAGTAAAATAAACCACAATACAAAGTATATATCCAAATAGACCACTACTCAAAATATTACCTGTACTTCTCTTCAAATGAAATCCTGTGATGTATCATTATTTGGTCTTTGGATTCAACAGAAGTCCTTCTTAGACATGGTCTAGCTAGTTAGTACCAGTAGTTCACTACGTAGTCCATGCTGACCTTGACTCGCAGTGTCCTATCTCAGCCTCCCCATTGTTGGGATTTACTTGCATGCACTACAGAAGTTATTAATGCAATTTTTAAAAGCAACATTTTTCTACTATAATTTTGAATTATAGAATGATTAATACTTTGGTTTTTTAAACATTCAAGGGGATAATATTACCTCCTATAATACATGAAAAATATACTTAAGAGAAATCCTGTGAAACTTACTAGTATTTAGATTTAATTAACCCTGGAGGCTGGTTATAGTAATAATAAAAGTCAGAATTGAACACCCTGTTTTATTTCTTCTTATTGTTTGTCTGTGTTCTGAGTTTTCATTTGCAAATTTGGCCTTGGGGTGAGCTGAGGACTGGGAGAACTGGCAGGAGACAAGAGGTGGGCCGGGCTCTTCCTTCTCTGGGGAGTGTTCACAGCTCATTCTCCTGAAATGGTAGGAACACGTGCAGGAATACAGAGGTCTGAGCTTTCTTCATGACTGAATGGAAACCGTCAGTGAATGCTTTGTGGTTCCAAGGCTCTGGTTCTGGAATGGAAAGAAAATGGCAACACCAGCATCTTGGCCTTTGGCACACTGTGCCACCTCAGAGTGGAATCTAAAGCACTGAATCAGATGTCCATGCCCTTGTCCACCCCGTACATGAAGGAGAATTAATGTTTTAAAGGCTTGAATTACTTTAACATCTACTTTGAATTGCCATTTAATGCCAGCATAGTTTGAAAGTCCCAAGCATTTATCTTAATGAATATATCTTATGAAATATAACAACACTGCAAAAGAATTTATTAGCCCATTTGCACAAAGAGTTTAGATTTGGATTAAACCCCATTGAAGTAAAATTAATTAAATAAAACAAGATCTTCTGGTTCACCCATTTTATTTTCTTTGTTTATCGCATGATTCCCATGATTCAAAATGGCCCCAAATAAGACTTTTCTATATTAACACCTAAATTCACACTAGGTATAAACAATAGAACAAGATGAAAGGTATCTCTTCTTATAATCTAACGAGTTAGCCCATCTCAATTTAATAGATGCAGACAAAATACGCAAGACTCCTAGGTTAAAAGAAATTTATTATTCATGGCACAGCAAGCAATATACCCCCTCTTGCCTCCAGTCTTCCAGTAGTGTCATACTGAGGAATATTGAGCTTAGGAGACTCCTCAGGGCAGTGTTAGAAGACTGCCAGGAGGCCAGCACAGCCTTTGTCCCAGAAGAAGGCTGTATTTTCACTATGCTTATTGGAAGACAAATCTACTTTCTGTGTCAGTGGGAAATGCTGTCTCTGTTTTTTTTAAAAAAGCTTTTTTCTCTGTAAATGCTTTTTAAAAAGATAGTCCAGAACATAATCCCAGCACTGAAGCAGGGGGATCACTGTGAGTTCAAGGCCAGCCTGGATTACATAGTAAGTTCAAGGTCAACCTGGAAAATATAGCAAGACCCTGACTCAAAAAAAAAAAAAAGATAGTCCAGAACACAGGCCATTCAAGGTATGTAAAAGTGTGATAGAGTCATAGAGAATTATCTCCTGACATCAGGACACACACACACACAAACACACAAG